AAGCATCAAACCAAAGTACAACGTGCTATATTTTCAAATTATTGTTTGGATATGCTAATGAAACATGATTCGTAAAATTTCAATTTTGACAGTATTCGTTTTCGCCTATTCGATTTAACGATTAATAACTTTATTATTGTACTAAAGAATCAAACCAAAGTACAACGTGCTTTTTTTTTTCAAATTATTGTTTGGATATGCTAATGAAACATGATTCGTAAAATTTCAATTTCGACAGTATTCGTTTTCGCCTATTCGATTTATCGATTAATAACTTTATTATTGTACTAAAGCATCAGACCAAAGTACAACGTGCTATATTTTCAAATTATTGTTTGGATATGCTAATGAAACATGATTCGTAAAATTTCAATTTCGACTGTATTCGTTTTCGCCTATTCGATTTAACGATTAATAACTTTATTATTGTACTAAAGCATCAAACCAAAGTACAACGTGCTATATTTTCAAATTATTGTTTGAATATGCTAATGAAGCATGATTCGTAAAATTTCAGTTTCGATAGTATTCGTTTTTGCCTATTCGATTTAACGATTAATAACTTTATTATTGCACTAAAGCATCAGACCAAAGTACAACGTGCTATATTTTCAAACTGTTGGTTGGATATGCTAATGAATGTCATGATTCGTAAAATTTAAATTTCGACGGTATTCGTTTTCGCCTATTTGATTTAACGATTAAATTTCGACGGTATTCGTTTTCGCCTATTTGATTTAACGATTAAATTTCGACGGTATTCGTTTTCGCCTATTCGATTTACCGATTAATAACTTTATTATTGTACTAAAGCATCAGACCAAAGTACAACGTGCTATATTTTCAACCTATTGTTTGGATATGCTAATGAAACATGATTCGAAAAATTTAAATTTCGACGGTATTCGTTTTCGCCTATTCGATTTAACGATTAATAACTTTATTATTGTACTAAAGCATCAGACCAAAGTATAACATGATATATTTTCAAACTATTGGTTGGATATGCTAATGAATGTCATGATTCGTAAAATTTAAATTTCGACGGTATTCGTTTTCGCCTATTCGATTTAACGTTTAAATTTCGATGGTATTTGTTTTCGCCTATTCGATTTAACGATTAATAACTTTATTATTGTACTAAATCATCAGACCAAAGTACAACGTGCTATATTTTCAAACTATTGGTTGGATATGCTAATGAAACATGATTCGTAAAAATTAAATTTCGACGGTATTCGTTTTCGCCTATTCGATTTAACGATTAATAACTTTATTATTGTACTAAAGCATCAGACCAAAGTACAACGTGCTATATTTTCAAACTATTGGTTGGATATGCTAATGAATGTCATGATTCGTATAATTTAAATTTCGACGGTATTCATTTTCGCCTATTCGATTTAACGATTAAATTTCGACGGTATTCGTTTTCGCCTATTCTATTTAACAATTAATAACTTTATTATTGTACTAAAGCATCAGACCAAAGTACAACGTGCTGTATTTTCAAACTATTGTTTGGATATGCTAATGAAACATGATTCGTAAAATTTCAATTTCAACGGTATTCGTTTTCGCCTATTCGATTTAACGATTAATATTTATTATAATATATTAGAAAAATAATATTATTTCTCAATTATATTTATGTTTAATGTAGTTATATGTTGTAAGTTAAAAGAATTATTATAATATAACACAGGTAAGTTGCACAAATAAAACATGTCATACTAAATATATAATATATGTATGCTAATATAAAAATTTTTGAAACAAAACAAACAAAACATTTTTTTTTGGTCATTAAATAAATATACTCAACATATTATTTTTTTCTAATTTTTTTCAACAATAACAAATCTTGCCCAAATATACACTCTTCAAATGCAAATTTACCAAATTTGAGAATTACATTTATATGTCAACGCTACTAATATATTCAAAATATATTGACATTTCATTGATTGATTAAGGTAATTTCTTATGTATTGAATTGAAAGCATGGATATCGGGATACGTAATTGATAATTAACCTAAAAGATCTCAACGGACACACGAAAAAATAACCACCCAATCAGTTAACCTAAAAGATCTCATCGACGGACACACGGAAAAATAAAATCACCCTATCCACGCTGCTCATTATGTAGAGAAAAATATACCTCCAATTTCAGAAAATAACCTCCATCTTCATCTTAAACAAAGTGAACGCCATACTTGTATACATAGGTGGAGCCATTACCAAACGTAGCAGGTGGGACTTTTCGAAGAAATGACTGATTTTCAAGAGGTAATTTTTGTTGGGCGCTAATTCATATTATTTGCTTTGGTAATTATATTCATATGTCGTGTAGATGTTTTAATATTCACTTAAATTCAATTTCGAATTGAGGGCTACGCCTGTTAGTCGTTCCAGAAGAAGAAGAAAAGAAGTTATCAAAGCACCAGGTTATTCAAGGGATGACTTATTTTTCTTTCACAGAACAAAACTAGCGACACTGCTCAAGATCAATAAAAACTTAACTCCTGGCCAGCGCCGTGATTTAGACAAGGTTGGATTTGGTACATTATCGCGTATGAACGTTTCACAAATAGATTCAAAGTTGGTGGCTTTCTTGGTTAAAAATTATGATCCCATATCAAGAACTATTATGTTCGGAGGTACGAGACTTATTCTGTCACCCGGTGTTGTGGAGAAACATTTCGGTCTATCAAGTGAAGGAATGGTAAATTCTAAAACTGTCTATGGTATAATCAAGTACGGTAATTTATTTTGTGGGAAAGAAGGACAATTCTTTGGATTTGCGGAGCTTCATAATATGGTGACAAATTGCAAGAAGAACGGGTCTGAATTCATAGTTCCCTATTTGATGTTGCTTTTCGCCACGGTGTTGTTCCCACTTGATAGTCATTCACATCTGGACTATGATTTTCTAAACTACTTGGTTGATTTAAATGATGTCCAAGAATACAACTGGTGTGAAATAATTCTGCGCAAGTTGGATGAGGGAACTACGTCAGTGCAATGCAATAATAAATCGTACATCACGGGATGTATTCTATTACTGCAGGTACACTAACGTTATATGCATCATATGTTAATTAATAAATGGTTGCATAACATATATTGTAAACTTTATTTTAAACAATTGTAGGTGGTTTTCCTTGGTTATGTGACGAGATCATTCCAAATTGTCCGAAAACAATTGTATACTGGATCCCCTTTTTTAGAACAATGGAGCCAGCAAGATATTTCTAGAGCAATTGAGGTGTTTAAGCAAATGGGAGGTTATGATAAGAATTTTGTAAGTACACATGTGAATTTAATTTGTTTGCATGAAATTTTATTAACTCGCCATTATCATATTAATAATGTACGTATTTTTTTTTTAAATGTATTTCAGAATTGTGAAAGTTAATAGGAAGTTGTACGGAATGAAGATGGATGAAAGCGTTTCAAAGGATCCTAATCAGCGTGACTCACACACATTTTCACATGTAACAAACAAGATCATTGAGCA